TAAAACTGAACATGAAAGTATCTAGTTTACAAGCATATGTGAGGTTAGTTCATCTATAGAATTATTTAAAGTGTTTCTGCATAAAATCAATCCTTAGCAAATGTTTGCCAATGTTGGTAATAATGATTAGTGATAAAAACAGTGATAGCTTAAACAGAAATTCTACACCTATACGAACCTTGCCATTTTTTTTCTTTCAAAATAGACTTGGACATGCCAATATACACAGGAAAATAAGCTTTAAGCATAAAATTTACTATGGTTATTCTATTTTAGCTGAATGCAACTTCATTTTGAAAGTAATCACATTTAATTATGTAATTATAATGAACACACTTTCCCTAAAAATCTAAAAAATTATATAAACAAACCTTGTGGGGAAAAAATAATACCCCCAAACTTTAATATATCTTTACCCCATGGTCCCAAATTTCATTATAATGAATTTACTTATTATATGTAAATGAAAGCTTTAAAAATATGAGTGCCCTGCACTAAACTGTTTTTTACATTAGAATTCCTGGCATTTTAATACTGTGTTATTCTTCATCAGCCATGCACTGAAATCTCAGGGTGAAAAAAGGGCCAGACCATGCTGAAAGGTTTCAAATATCAAACTATACCTATTATGTCAGTGCCCCAAGATCAATTAGCACCTTCCAGTGACAGAAAAGGTTACAGTGATACTACAAGGTGCGTGCGCTAAAACTCTTTCAAACCACCATATAACTGTGGTTTTGATAACTCAAAATGGTTTCTATTTTTAAATTTTCCATTTCATCTCTTTTTCTGCAAGACAGAAAAGGGAGTTAAGGGAATAAGGGAAGGAATAAGGGAAGGGTATTCATTTTTAATACCTTTCTCCTAGGAAAAACATGGATATAGAGACACGGTAATAATAAGGAACTTTAAGAGTGAAAAAGGTTTAGCACCGAAGTATAGACTAGCCTTGCAGTGCGTGCACTGCTGCAAGCAATATTAGATGACAGTAATGTTTACAGAGTCTTCAAATGTCTTAAAAGCAATCAAAGTTGCTTGTCTTGCTTTTGAATGTGTGATTCTTGTTTATTTTCTCCCACTCAAGTTCAAGTTAAATGACTCCAAGTTCGGCTTCCTGTGTAATTTAATGAATATTTGGTATCCCACACATTAAAATGTATCTAGCTGCAAAATGCAGTATGATACCCAGAGCAATTAAATACACCGTTGCACCTCACCCATCTCTAAAACAAATGCCTGAAAGACCATGTCATTTGGTAGTCTACCGGGAAAAATTCATGAGAAGCAGGTACATTGCAATGTCATCCCAGTTCTCCTGGTGTTGATTTCATTCACCTAGGAACCATTGTAATAAAATCCCCCAACTGTACTTCTGAATACAATTAGTTTTAAGATACTCCATGGGGAACACATTATAAGAGTTATAGTATGTACGAATAATAGCCATCTGAAAAAGAAACTGTCAAGATTATATTCTCACAGAAAAATAACAGGAGGGTTGATAGAAGTTTGTGGGGCTCCTCGGTGAGAGGATTCAAACAGCTACTTCTGATAGCACGCTTTTCTATTTATTTCTTAAATGAGCGATCTGAAACGTTTACCACCAGACAGTACCTAATTTTAGGTTTTAAGTGCTTTAACAGCTCCATGAAATATGATCAGCAGCTGCAATACAGAACTATGGTGAATAAACTCCTTATAAAGGGGGGCCTGTTTTTACTGAATGTTCACTGTTCCTGCATTTACCTAGCAGAAAAAAAAAGACAATGAAAAATATAAGTACTTGTATGCTTAATGTACTTTACACTTCACTAAGTCCTGGAAAACAGTCTAGCCTCTTCTTGAATCCTGCACAGAAATACAGTTCTGTTGGATGAAATTAATGTTATTTTCATAATTTGTAAGTTAGGGTGTGATCTTCCTAACATCCAAATTATCCATGATGGTAAAGTTTTTCTACCATTCTACTTTTCTGGAAGTTCTTTCCAATTTAATTCCAGTGCATAAATTTTTTAAATGAAATACCAAGTCACATAAATATATTTTTAGATATGGCACCAGTCATTTGGAGCTTGCAACAGAGATTGAAAACATGAAATTGGACACTCTATTTCCCATGGCGATGTAAAATTTATTTACACCCCATATCACAATACAAAAAAAAGGAAGCTCTTAGAAATAGATGATTTTCTTTTTTTTTAACTCAAAGTGGTGCTATAAGAGGAAAAACTTTTAGCAAACCGACGACATACTAAGTCTTTGCTAGACTTCCTTGAAAAAAAGTTAAACTTTTATAGAAAGACATGTTTATTAACCAGATTTTACAAAACTTCTAGAATGCAGCATTTGCTTTTCCTAATAAAATTAATGATTATTCTTGAACTAATTTCTTTTTATAGGAATCTTTAAAAGTTATTTTTAAACTTGAACATTTTACTTAAAATAGCTATTTCTGTAATTATAGATATACATATAATACTTTTAATTTTTGGAGTAAAATTAGTATCTAACATTCGATAAAATAAATACTAATAAAAAGATTAATCAAGTGAATTTTCAGTTTGATTTTGAAACAGCCCCTAGTTATAATGGTTTTGAAATGTTGAAATGTACTATTTCACATAAATGACAAAGGAAATAGGCTTTTGAAAAATTGTACTAATTTTAAACCAAGGACATATACCTTATTGTTATGAAACCCAAGGTTATAGTCCTAATAAACAGAAAAGTTTACAGATAATCTAATTGTTATTTTTAAAGCATAACTGACAAAGTAATTTACCTTTCTTGTACAGTCAGTTCTAAAAATTGGCTTAACTCTGAATGACTTACAACTTTTAATCAGGTGGAACAAACTATTTTTATGGTTCATAATAACAATAAGAAATGGTTGCTGTTATATCTGTGCCTGGTATTGTTGCCTTAAAAATAAGATTCTGGCAGTCTAGCTCCCACACAAAACAGTTTGTCTCTTGTTACTACTGTTGGTTATTTACTAAGGATAATGCTATTTTTAACAATACACAAATGCACTTGGATGTAGTCTCCTAAAACGCACCATTACACCATAACACGTATCAAATTTTTGTTTTAGAGTTCTCTCCCCGCCCCTTTTCCTAGGTTTTTTGGTTCCTCAGCAAGAAGTTAGCTAGCTGGAAATACTTTATTTTTTTTTTGTAATTAAACATAAAACAAATGTTTCTGTTTAAAACCAACTTCTATTCGGCAACGGTTATCAAAATCATCCATGTCCTGAGACAGTTTGTAAAACACAAAAACAAAACAACCCAACAAACAAAAAAGCATCGTCAACTTGCAATGCTGTCAGTCACCTAGGTGTAAAGGAAACTTCAGAAGCTGTTGAAGCAGAGCCCGGGCTGTTAAAGGCTCCTAAGACTCCCACCTACGTCCCGCTGGAGCCAGCACGGAAACGAACAAAAGCCCGAGAGTGAAGAAAGAAAAAAAAAAGAAAGAAAGAAAAAGAAAGAGAGAAAGAAAAAAAAGAAAAAGAAAAGTGGCTTCTGATGAACTGAGGAACAAAATGCCATATTGGAGAATATATGTTTCTCTCCATCAATTACGTTGATCCCAGGGTGCCAAGCCAAAAGGGGTAAGGGAGAAAGAAAAACTGTTAAGTATGAGCTCTTAATGTGAAACCTAACCTGTTGGTTCTCTTAGGTATCAGATTTTGGAAGTGTCTGTAATGACAGCCAGGAAGGCAAATTAATGGCCAACGGCCCACTGGGTTTGAACACGAGACTCCTGTTACCTCCTCGCAGATCAAGTACACAGCACACATGCACACCGAGGCGCTCCACGTGGGTCTGCGCTAAACCAAAACACACGCGCGCCCGGGGTTCTGCACCCGGGCGGGAAGGGCCGCGGGTTGCTCCTTGCTGCCCGCGGCTCGGGACTCAGACGTGACCCTCTCTGCCCACTGCAAAGCGCCGCGGCGAGGCGCAGGGGCGAGGGGAAGAGAAGACTCCAAACACACACCCCGACGCGCTCTCACCCAAACACAAACCCTATTATATACCCTTGGAGGCAAAGGAGGGGAGGGGGTGAGTCGACCCCACGCCACTTGCAAAGAGGAAGACTAAATGCAAAGCGCGGTCTCCGGACTTCTCCCCCCGGCCCCCCACCTCTCCAAACAGACGCCCCCCCGGACTCGGCCCGGGGATCAAGATCTTCCAAGTCGGTTAAAGCCCGGGCCAGGTCGCAGTGTGGCGCAGCCTTTTGCGGGCACACGCGCTTCAGCACAGCGCTCTCTACGACGCTAACGCGGCCAGCCAGTTCCCCAGTCCCACAACTTTCCCGGACCCAGCAGGCTCGGGAAATGGTGCAACTCCCCCACCCCCTGTTTCCCAGCGCTTGCGGGAGTGTAAGCGACCCCCACCCACCTCCATCTCCCTGGCATCCGCGTCCGGAGCCAACGAACGCTACTGCTCTGCCCAGGAGCCTCTGATTTCACCACCCCTGGCTAACTCCGGGAGATCTACGGTCTACACCACGGGGAAAAAATAAATAAACAAAAACAACACGGTTTTAAAGTGGGATGGCTGCAGTTTCAGGGCCAGGAGATGCCCGCAGCGCAGCTGCTGTGAATGTGCGGGCACAGCTTGGAGTCCCCAGCGCCGGGGCTCTCGCGGTCATCGGGGGCCGCATCCCAGCGCCCGGGTTATTGCAGGGGCGCATCCCGAAGTAAAGCATGCCACAGGACGGATGGCGGGGGTGCATTCCTCCGAAAGGCAGGGCTGAGGTGGGGGTGGGGGGCAGGGAAGGGGAAAGCGCACCCATTTCTAAGTCCAGCAGGAAAGAAACTTTAGCCGGACCCTCCGGGTTTAGAGGGGCGTCCTTCCGAACCAGGCAAGGGGGACTCCGGCACCCTGAGCGCGCGCACCTTCGGAGAGGGGGAGGGGGGACCTCGCCGGCTCCCTCCAAACCCGACGCCCCGGGAGAGCCCGGAACGGATGACGGAAGACCCCGGGACCGTGACTCACCGTGTCCCACACCTCGGGAGCCCGCAGTTCAGGTCTCTGGTCCCAGCAGAGAAGTCGCGCTCGGGGTTTAGGTATTTATTCTGGTCCCTTCCAGTGTCGAAGTTTGCCCCTTCGTGCCGTGCCTCTGGTGGAAACAGGACATCCCCTTCGGCCACCGCCCCCCAACAAATAGCCGTACACAAGTCGGGGAGAGACGGGGTGGGGGTGTGGGGTGTGTGTGTGTTGGGGGGGGGGGGAGTGGTAGCCGGCTCCGAGGTGGGGGAGGAGGAGAAGGAGGAGGCTCGTGGAGAAGCTCAAACTCTGCAGGGTCCGCGGGGCCTTGGAGCTGGGTGGGTGGAGAAGGAGAAGGGGGGAAAAAAAAAGAAGAAAAGAAGCGGGCAGAGCGCGCTCAGCCGGTCCCGGGTCGGTCGCGGCGCTGTCCCGTCCCGTGGCCCCGCCGGGAGAGCGACAACTTCACGTGGACGGGCTCGAAGTTTTGCGCCGCGCCGCGGGCAGCCGAGCACTAGCGCGCGGGCTGGGGTGGGGGTGGGGGGGTGGGGAGGGGAGAGGCGGGGGACACCGTCGGCAGTGCCCGAGGCCCGGGGAGGCCGCCGGGGGCCCTGGGGCGCACAGTCCCGAGCTTGGGGGACGGCGGGGGGCGGGCGGCGAGAGGGGCGGGGACCCACAGAGCTGGAGATTACAACCCCGGCGCGGGCCTGCGGTCATGATCCGCTGCCCCACGGGGGGCACCGCGCGGGGCCCCGCGCGTCCCGGGTGACGCCGCGGTACATCTCCGCGCCCTCCGCGCCGCCCCGCTCCCCGCCCCCACCGACCCGGCTCCTGGAGCCGCCACCTCTGCCCCGAGGGGTGGGACCCGCGTCCTCGCTCCCCCTCCGGGGTCAGGAAGCTGCTGTGCGTCCCCCACCTGCTCCAGCCCGGCAGCCCTCGAGAGGCCTCGAACTCCGGCTCCCCGGGACCCGGGTGGCAACCACTGCGGCCCCCTGCTGGACTCCTCTCCACTTACCCCGAGGGAGCAGGCCGCCGGGCCCTCACTACTGGCAACAAAGTGAAATCGAGCCAGCCCACCCCCGACCGGGGAGCTTTGTGTGGAGAGAGGAATGGTCCTTTTTCGGGCCGAGATGGAGGGTTGGAAGGAAGCAGCGGGGCAGGGATAGGCTGTGCTCGGAAGGGCCTGGGCCGCTTCCAGAGCTCGGCGCGCAGGTATAGGCATCCCTCCCAGACGCCCAAAGGTCACGCAGCCACCACTGACTTCCAAGGCGGCGTCAGAGCTTCCCCAGGCACATTGCTGAAGTGACATTTCATGCCTTAAGCCTTCGGAGCTTGCATTAGACACCCACGTCGGTACGATAGCTTGGATGCACCCAGGCACATATCACAATCGGAAGCCACAGCAAAGTTGGCAATAAGCAATACATTCTAGTCTCCATCCGTTGAATTACCTCTTCTGAACGCTGATGTCTGTTAGAAGCAGCTTTAATTGTCAAGTGGATTTACAAGTATTCTCCTTTATCGAGAATGCGCAGTTGGTCATATGGGTCACTTATGGTACCAAGTCAAATAATTTTGATTTTCACAACTCTATGGTGGATACTCGGCTGTATAATAGCTAAAGGAAAACAGATTTAAAGAAACCTAACTGCTTTAAAGATAAAATCAATTATCTTTAATCACTAAACCTATGATCAGCAAGCAGCCACATGCCCCACATACCCCATGCCTTAGATATGCCCTAAGAGATCCCAAGTGTTTATATATTGTCAATTCTATGATATTCTAAAAAAAGTTCAGAAAAGGATTTCACCTTTGTCATCTTTGAGTTAAGCGCTTCAAATCAAAAGCATATTAAATACCTGCATTTACCATTAATTTGTGAAATGGGTGAGCTGTTATTAATTGTGATTCACAATAAGCAATGAAAAAGAGGTAAGGTTGTAAATTTAAACTGATAATGTTGCTCGTCATCACTCACTGGGTGTTCTTTCCTGCAGATTTATTTTAGAGGACTTAGGCACTGCCAGGCATAATGTTTCATTTTCTGGTTCTCAAGGTAGTAAGGGTTCTGGCAATGACTTTGGTGCAAAGCACAGAACGTGAGAGCACGTTCTGGCCTGAAGTGGATGCCAGCTAATATACTTGTATAAGGAAAATATGAGTTGGTATATATAAATAACTTCAGATATCATTTTCCCTCTTTTACAGAAATGAGAAAGCTAAGGGTGCAAAAAATTTTAGCAACTTATTAATGGACACATAAGATTGAAACCAACTTTTGGGTAATCCCAAAGATTATAGATTACCGTTTATAGATTACCACTGTGATACTATTGTAATATGATAGTAGTTTGACAAGTGATTCTTTTTAATGCAATACATGTTATAAAATATCCAATTTTCATATAATGTGGAATATTTAGTGTCTAAGGCTGTTCAGTAGATATAGCAAATATGCAAAAGTTACGCATAATTTTAAATAGAATTCTCTCTAGGCCACCAATACCTTAATTTGCCTAAGTATTATGTATTAGTATGACCTCAAAAGCTACAAGATATGTAATTGAATGAGGGAGCCAGAGAGATTATACAATAAATAGGACATTTGACATGCATGAGGCTGACCCCATGTCCAATCCATCCCCAGTACCAGTATGGTCACTGAAGCACCACCAGGAATAATCCCTGAACATGGAGCCTGAAGTAAGTCCTGAGTACCACCAGATATGGCTCCCAAACCAAAACAAAACCATAATTTGAATGATATAAAAATTTATGCCTTATTACAATTTATTATTTATAGGAAATAATGGATATTAAGGTTGAATAGAAAAATATTGGTAGTTTCAACAGAAATTATTTCTAGCATTTTTGTTGAATATCACTTTTTACCATTATTACCTTATTATCAATAGATTTGATTTCAAGTGTTTTTATTATTATTATTACAAAAAAACTGTGTAACTTCGTGAATAGAAAATGATCATTAATACTAGAAGAACATGAAACCAATAAACAGTTTTATTTACAATCACATCAAAATAATAAGATACATAGAAATAAATTTAAAGGGAGTGAAAGATATAGTCCACAAAAGCTATTAGACATTGTTAAAAGAAGTAGAAGACACAAGGAAAAGTATTCTAACTGTATAAGTTAGAGATAGCATTGCTAAAATAGTCATCTTATCCAAAGCAATGTTCAGATGCAATACACTCTCTTAAAAAATTATTAAATCTTTAGATTTAATAATGTAGAATAATCCTTACTAAAAGCGATAGCACAGCGGTAGGGCGTTTGCCTTGCACGTAGCCAACATGGCTGACCCGAGTTCGATTCCTCCGCCCCTCTCGGAGAGCCCGGCAAGCTACCGAGAGTATCTCGCCCGCACGGCAGAGCCTGGCAAACTACCCGTGATGTATTCGATATGCCAAACACAGTAACAACAAAGTCTCCAATGGAGACGTTACTGGGCCCGCTCGAGCAAATCGATGATCAACGGGAGGGCCTTTACCTTTACCTTTACCTTTACCAAAAACAGAATAGTTAAAGCAATTCTAAGAACAGAAGGAATTAAGCTCTCTAGTAGTAGTTTGTAATTCAAACTACACTACAAAGCCATAGTGAAATCAGTTTGTATTGGAATAAAAACAGACACAAATTAAATGAACTCAGATGACAGCTCAAAACTTGTAAAATCACCGCAAATGTGTAAAGAGCTTGCACTGGAGAAAGCAAAGTCTTTTCAACAAATGGTGTATAGAAAGATGTACAGCCGTTTGCAATCTTAAACAATACCAAAAATAAGCAAAGATTATTTCAAAATAAAGTTCTTAAGACCTGAAACTAGGGCTGAAGAGTGGTACAGTGGTACTACACTTGCCTTGTAGGTAGCCAATCTCTGTTCAGACCCAGCACCACGTAGGGTTCCTTGAGTACCACTAGAAGTAATCCTTGAAGAAAGTCAGAAGGAAACCCTGATCAGTGCTTGGTATGGCCCGAAGAAACCAGAACAACAACAACAAAAGGACCTGAAACCATAAATACATAGAGAAAAACATAGGCAGTTCATCCCACATTAGGGACTGCTGAGATAGTATAGCGGATACCGTGTTTGCCTTGCATGTGGTGTATCCTGGTTCCAGGTCACGTGGAGCCCACCAGTAGAGAATCCTGAATGAAAAGCCAAGAGTAACCTCTGGACATGGCCAGTTATACCACCCCTCAAAACAAAAACAAATCTCCATAACATTGGCCTTGATGTCGTTGGGTGACCTACCAAATAGTAATGAATAGAATAGCAAAAATTAAACAAATAGGAATATGAAAAATTAAGAAGTCTCTACAATGAAATAAACCTCATTTACAATGAAGTTAGGCTTCTGAATAGAATAAAAGTTTGTACATTGCATATCTAAAAAGGGGGTTAATATTCCAAATACAGAGCAAACTCCTACTGGAGCTGGAGAGATAGTGCAAAGGGTAGTGTGCTTACCTTTGCACATGACTGACCCAGGTTCGATCCCAACTATCCCATATGGTTCCCTGAGTACAACCAGGAGTAATTCCTGAGTGCAGAGCCAGGAGTACTCCTGTGTACTGAGTACTCCTGTGCACTGCCTGAGTACTCCTCTGTGGCCCCAAAACCAAAGAAATAAACAAAATTAATTCAAACAGCACAACAATAACAAAATAATTACCCAATTAAAAAAAATGGCAGGAGAGCTGACTAGACACTTTCCAAACAACAAAAAAGATATACAGATAACCACCAGACACAAGAAAAACACCCATCATTACTAATTGTAATATAAATGCTAATCAAAACCACAAGGACATAAAACCACATCAACGGGAATGAGTTATATAAAAAGATTAAAAATAAGTGTTAATGAGTTCATGTGTTAATGAGCGTATAGAGCATATACCTCATACACTGTTGTTCAGAATGTAAACTGAACAACAGTTGAAGACTTTTTGGAAACCGTATAAAATGACTCTAAAAATTAAAAGTGGATCTACCATAAAATGCAGCAATTCCATTTTTATATACCTGTATCACGGTCATGGTTGCAGTCCTCCGTTGTTCATCAATTTGCTCGAGCGGGCCCAGTAACATCTCCATCGTGAGACTTGTTGTAAC